CATGGGGGCTGAGCAGGTAGCTGGCACCAGAGGGTCAGGCTGTTTACAGAGGGATCAGGGGAGACAAGTCAGACATAAAAGAGGAGCTGGTGCCTGTCCCTCCCTGCCTTGGCCTGTCCTGTTATCCCCAGCACACAGATGACCTGAAGATTTGCCTCAGCAAATTCCCAGCCTCCCCCGGCTCAACTACTTCACTGGGCATGGCACTGGAAATAATTCCAGGAAATAAATCCCAAAACCTCCTAATGCATGAGCTGCTTCCTTTGCAGCAGGACTTGAGAAACCTTACAGTGGGAGAAGGCGTGATGCCTCTGCAACTCCTGGTCCAGGACTTCAGGAATGCAGTATGAGCTGGTGCAGGATGGACTCCTCAAATCCCAAATTCCCAAGATAAGTAGATATATTGGAAAGTGAGCCTGGTTGCTGATATATTTTCCCATTGCTCATCTCTGAGTAACTGTCTAGCCTGGTTCAATTTAACAATCAGAGTCAGTCATGGCTTTGGCTGAGATCCTGATGGAAGTGCAGAGAGCCATGTCTGGATCCTGACATTTTTCACTGAGTGCTCAGCATTGCCCATGGAACAAAAATCCTCTGTGCCACCCCTCAGCTGACACCCAGCCGGTCCCAATGGTGTCCCTTGGGCAGTGCCAGTGCTGTGCCTATGCCAGCCAGTCCAAGGTCACCAAGATGCAAAGTGTTCTGTTGGCTGTTGTAGAGGGAATTGCAGGGTTCTTCTAGGAGTGATGGTTGCTGGGTCTAGGAAGGGGATTGTTCATATCTTGCCCTGGCACTGCTTGACTGAGGGGGTACTTTTAGAATTGCCCTAGAGGCAGAGGAATGGAGATACTAAATTACTTGCCTGGGTCCCATGGGAAGGCTGTGTCATCAGCCATTTACTTCTTTCACTGTCCACCTCAGAGGATCATTTCCTCATTTTCTGGCGCTCTGTCTCAAAAGCCTTCCACTTCTTGTAGTTTTCTTGGGATGCTTTTGTGCTTTCCAGTTTTTCTTTTTAAATTATGTTGCTGTTGTTGGGCTGTATGGGATATCCTATGAAGTCCTTGGCACTTTCCTAGGTGGCTTCCACTGTTTTTCCATGCTTTAACTTATGATGGGATTCTTTTTCATCTCTCCTGTGTGGTTTCCAGACCCCTCCCTGTTAGTTTGGTTGCTCTGATAAAAGTAAAATGTTCAGAGGTTTGAGAGCTTGTGTTCTCTTGCTGCACTCTGTATGCCAAGAAAATTGAGATGAGGCCATTTGGATCAGGATGTCAGAATTTTGGATTCCACAGGCTGGTATTCTTGTCCAGAAACTTGCAGTGTTTTTCTTCCTTCCCATAACTCAAAGATTTTGTTGTTTCCTTGCTTTTGCTTTTCATCCAACATACCTGAATCATCCAGGCTTAAACTTGTGAGGCTAGTTCTCTTGTTCAGCTCTACCAAACCCTGCTAAGATTTTCTTCTACAAATGACTGGAAGACGAGTTTAGAGAAACAATACCAGGAGCCTCATATAGGATAGTACTACCCTTAGAGGGGAATTAAGCCATCTGCTATGGTTGTTTTTTTAAGAGAGGCATGACTGTAAGATCAGTGGCCACTTGTTTTATAGGCTTTACAGAGACTGCCACAAACATGGTTTTATACCTTGACAGAAGTGGGTTTTATTGGTGTTTCAGCTGTATCATTTCTCTGCCATCCTGTTAGGAGACTCTGTTCAGGTGCTGGTAGCACAACCTTCTCCTCTTCAGCCATCAGCTATTGCTAGAAAACAAGCTGTGCCAATGCTTTTCCAGATTTATTACGACACCATCCCAAAGGGAACCTCCTTTTCCTTTTGCTGTATGGCCCTGGGGCCTCCTCCCCGCTGCACTTCAGCCTGTCTGGGTGAAGTCCAGAAGCCTCCTTCTCAGAAGAAAGAGCTGCTATGTGCTCTTTGCAGAGCATTTATTGCATTTATATTTCATTATTACCCATCTTCCATTCATGCAAATAATATGGAAATCTGCTCTCTCCTCTTCTCTTTGAGACAGCTTTACCTGTCTGAGGGATTTCTTGCCTTGCCTCCTCTTACCAAAGCTCCAGTTTCAGGTCAGTTGCAGTAAATTTTATCTCCACTGAGAAAAATGGTGGCATTATAATATTTCTTTCCATTCTTTCTGGCCAGAACAAGCTTGAAGTAGAAGACAAGTAAATTAATCATCAAAGAAGTAAATTTTTATTAATCCCAAAAGTGGGAAGGTAGAACTACTGACCCTCTCAAATTATAAATCATAACAGGTTTTTAGTAGCGTGATTAATGGCCTTTTGGGTTAATTGTCATGATTTCACCTGCACCTATTTAAAGAAGATAACCCCAAACCAGATGTTCTATCTACTGCCATCACTAACTTCTACCAGGTTAAGACACAAGCCCAGCAGGCTGCAGTCCCACATATGACTGCAAGAGCTGGCCTGGCTGCTCCTTTTGGCAGTTGGGTTCCAGTTACTGGCCATCGTGTTTGTGTGCTAGTGCTGTGAACAGGACCCTTTCCTGAACCAACTTGCACTGCGGTAAAGAGTCTGAGCAGTTTCTTGGAAAAGCACTGTTCATTTATGAAAAGAACATTGCAATCTTGCCAGGAAAGGGCCATTTTCCAGGAAAAATGCCAGTGCCTTTATAGCCAGTGTTTGGGTTGGTCCTCACAAATCACAACAGGCGATATAAGGAGTCAGTGACCACGAGAGGTGGGAATTGGGAACAGAAGTCACTTTAGAACTTGAACATCTCACCCAATAATCTGCAGACTTCTTCAGCTCTAACTGGTGTTTGAGTGGCATGAAGTCTCAGCAACACTGTAGTTATGTTTATTACTTGCAATCTATAAAGATTTAAGTGATGATTGGAACAGCTTTGGATAATTCACATCCCATTCCATGCTCTAATGGATGTCATATAAATGTTATACCGAAACCCAATCACTGCCAAGGAGAGTGAATGAACTCGGCAGACAACACACTGTTCCTTTGAAATCAGATGAACCATTGCTCAGAATTCATTTAGAATTTTTAGATGAAATCTTTCAGAAAAGCAAGCTGCAAAGTAAAAGTGTAACAAGCAAGGCTCATCAAAGCACCAATTAAAGGGCTTTCCCAGGGTGGCACAGGATGAGGAGGGCAGTGCCTGGGCTGCACTGAATCTCCCAGGCCGTGGGACTGCTCAAGGGCTGCCCTGGCACCTCTCACTACCTGGGTTTTACAGCTGCAAGTTCCTTCATCCACCATCAGCTGCTTCCTGATTTTCTTTAGAGTATTCAGTGTACAGGGTACAGTGTGGCATTTTTGCAACAATGTTGCTTGCAGCATCTTGAGAGTCCAAATGCAGCCTTTTTGGTGGTAGAGGGTAAAGAAATCACCCATGAACTTGAAGGAAGACCAGAAAAACATTCAGCGTTGAGTGCCCTCTCTAGTCTTGAAAACATAATTTCTTCATGTGTGCCTGGAGCTGTGGCTCAGGACAGCAGAGCACAAGCTGCAGCAGAGATGATCAGCACTTCAGCCACGGAGGGATGCCCAGCTAGATCAGGAGATGTCAAACACTAGGCAAGAACTCCAACCACTGCAGCTTCACCGCTCATGAGTGGCCCCTGCACAGGAGAGCTCCACAGGCTTCTGCAGGGCAATTGGCCAGGACATCCATGTCCCTAGCAGCAGAGGGACGTAGGCCATCTCACCCAGAAATACAGAGTTCATTTAGAGGTGAAGCTAAGAAATTTATGGCCAGTGGCAGTGGGGATCCTTCTCACAAAAGCAGATGGAAGCTGGCTCCAAACATACAGCAAATATGGTCACTGGGAGAACTGTCCTTTGCTAACAGACTTCCCTGAGTACTTAACACTGCTGCTACCACAATGCACAATCCTGTGTGGTCACCAACAGGCCCTTGTTCATTTTTCCCAGCAGTACAACAGCAGACAACAAATTCCTCTGGATGGAGAAGTGTGGAAATGCAGGCACATCACTTGGGAAACAGCACTCACAGCAAAGCTGTTTGTGATTCCCTGTACCTTGGTGCCCTTTGGGTGCACAGGAGAAGGCAAAATCACAGTGCCAAAGACAACCCTGGGCTCTGGCTGTGTCACACTGCATGGCATAGAACAGTTAGAAATCTGGTCTAGTATTTGGCTAGGCCAGATTTATTGCTGATTTGTGGCATCAGAGCAACAGAAAGCCATAGAAGGCTTCTGGCAAATCTGTCCCTCCTATTGGAAGGTGACGTCTTCCCTCTGTATCAGAGCACTGCCCTGGCCAAGCCCCATGGTCAGACCAAGGGCTTGGCCTCTGCAGAGGGCTCATTACCCTCCTGTCCAAATCTCAGTGATACGAAGGAGGTGAGAGTCCATGGTGGTACCAGGTCTTGGTTAGTACACTATAAAGTGCATTTTGACTTGTTTATTATTAAATAGTAATAAACTTGTTTTATAATTAAATAATCCCTGTTGGTTTTGCCTAATCCTTTTAATTTAGGAATCTGACATATTTAGAGCATCCTCACTTCTACAACAAGAAATGCTTTCCTTTGTTCCTTATGACCAGAGCTGTCCTTGCTGGCTGGAACATCCCTGGGATTGCTGACACCAGCACAGCCCAACCAAAACCATCATAACATCAAAGAGTTCAGATGTTAAACACTTGGATTTCTAAAATCTACCTTACAGTGTCAGAGAAAGGCAAGTGGAATAAGGTGCAAACAAACAAGCATGTTCTAAATCCAAAATGCTTCCTAAAATCCTCTTGGGTAAAACTACTGAAAACACTGAATTAATTGTTCCTGCTGGTGTCACTGGCTAATCCCCACCAACTTCAGGGGAAGCATAGAGGGTAGCTTGCTGTAGACATGTGTGACATGTCACATTTACCATGATCCGACAGGCAAACACCTGAAGAGCACAGAGATTACAGAACAGAAAATTCTGAGCTGGAAGGGACCCACAAGGACCACTGAGTCCAACTCTTCAATGAAAGGCCCATACAGGGATTGAACCCACAACCTTGGTATTATCAGCACCCTGCTCTGACCAACTGAGCTACCCCCAGTGTGATCCTGCATGATGGCACCACTACCTGGCAGTGCATCCAGCCAAGCAGAGAAATCTCTCACTGCCACACATCACACAGCACCACCAGCCTTCCCCGCCCTGCTGGCAGGAGGAGGAGAGGTGATGCTCAGTGGGGCCTGCAGTCCTGTTGACTGGAGCTGAGTGGGCCAGAAGGCAAGTGGCCACTGCTGGATCCCTGAGCCCCTACCCAGGCACATGGCTGTGCAGGGACTGACAAAGGCAGAAATCAAGCCCAGGCTCTCTGCTTAATTTGACAGGATACCATAAAAAAAGTCACTAACAACTATCTTGGTATTGTTAAATTATAAAGATAGAAACAATCTAAGAAGCTACACCAAATCCAGCACTACTCTCTAGAGGGCATCTCTTGAGGTTAAAGACCCCTAAATCAAATAAGGCACTTTATTCCTCCAAGCTGTGTAAATCCCAGCCTGATCTGTAACTATTGAATGGACTTTTTGCTAGATCTTGTTACTGAAATAACTTCTGAAGAGATACAAAACCTGTGGGTAAATGCATTGTCCAAGGGCTCTGCTCTTGCTCAGATCAGATCATCCATCTGCCTGTTGCAATTTACCAATTTAGCAATGTCTCTGTGCCATGACTTCACGTTTTGCAACACACCCACACATGAGGGATGGGGAAGACTTTGTTTGGAAATGGGCTCATTATCCAAACCCACTATGTTTAAAGACTACAGTTGCCTGGTACCTCAAGCAAGAGTGAAGAGCCCTGAAAATACAGGCATAAACCCATCTCGTTAATCCCTGCTCCTTCTTGTGAATCACTATTTCCTACTTTCTGTCTCAAAACATGATCTTTGGCATTCCACACTGAACATTTAATATTCAATGAAAAAATGCAAATAGCACCAGGCATTTATTTTTTAAGTAATGAGCCCTTGGCTGTTTTTTGGTAACATTTCAGATCCACACCACTTCTTCCCTGCCCTGTGTTACCAGCAGTTGCACATCTCCAAGATTTAACATTTGAGGGACTGAAATGCTTTATGGGTGGGCAGAGGAAAGGATAAAAGTGAAAGCCATCTAGTTTGGAAAGACAAAGAGCTTGCAAAGTTAGAAACTTAAAACTCAGCACCTCAAGATCTATATATCCCCCAGCCACCTAAGAAATATGCTGCATGTTGATGGCTGGGGTAGTGCTTGGAGGCAGAGTGATAAATCCCCTGGCAGAGGATGTTGTTTTTTCCTCAACAGCAGCAGTTCCCTTTGCTCAAGGCCCCGGAGATCTGAGTGATGGTGAGGAGCATCCTGGCTGCCAGGAGATGGGTTTAGTTCCTGCTGAGCACTCAGTAGCTGCAATAGTTCTCCATAGCAGAACTTTGTTATAGTCTCCATTACTAGGCAGGAGTAACCTGCCATTGCAGGTTGGAGCATCCAGTTTATCTTTGTGGAATCTGAAGTGTTTTTCCTTTGGTCACCAGGTATGCATTTTAAATTCGGGTGGTTGAATGAGCGCATGATGTTGTTGCATCATCTATAGACACTCTGTGCTCGCCTCTACAGAGCCAGATGTGTTACCGACTGAGGCTGCAAGTTCCTCTGCTCTCTGCAGGGTTTTCAGCCTGTGTTTGGCAGCAGCAGCTGTCTCTATGAAAGAATATTTACATGCTTCACAAATGTAGCTCAAACAAATTGAACTCTGTACTAACAGGATCATAATTTAAGAGAAGTGCCAAGTGCTAATGCAATAATACACGTGATTGGATTAGGAAATACAAGCCATAACAAGTCACTTTAGCTCATTTACAGCAGTGCCTGACACTTGAGGTACGGATGTGTTGAGAGGTGGAAGGAAGAGCAAAGGAGGGCAGGTACCCAACATCACACTCAAACCTACAACATCTGAGAGAGTGGCATGGACCTTTCTTGCCATTGCTTGAGTCCTTTCTAACCTGAATGGGTATGAGAAAGAGACTCAACTTACCTTGCATGCCAGCTATCCCCTCACCTTCTCTTTCTCTTGTCTTAGGCACATCCATTTTTCCCCCCATCTTTATTTTCCTCTTGAAACAGGTTCTTCTGTGACTCCTGCTCTTGGCTCCTCAGCAGGCTGCAGGTAGGTGCTGCTTAGTACAAAGGCTACACAAGACATTCAAAGAACAGCTACGTAGTGTGTACAAAAGCTAGAGGCATTCGGCCCACGGTTACCGTGCCAGCAAACACAGAGAAATCCACAGAGCAGCATCAGTGCTTGTGTCCACTGAGCACAATGCTGAAACATTAGAGTAACTTTGAAGAAGAAGAAGAAAAGCATTTACTTTTCCCTTTGTATGTTAAATGACAGCAGTTACTATTAAAGAGTAACAACCAAGCCCAGACCCCCAGGGAGATGTTCAAAGGAAAGGCCCTGCTCCTGCTGCTGGGAGCTCCACTTCCAGCTGCTGGTTGTCCTTTTTTCCTTTTCCAGTACCACAGAACCTTCCACCTTGACTTTTCCCACAGAGCCTTCCGCTTGACTTTTCCCATACTGATACTTACAGTGCAGGACAAATGATTCACGTAAGCAATCTTTGGAAATTAACTGTTAACCACAGATAATATCAAAAGGAGTGCACAATTAACAAGTCTTTAAGATTTCTTGCTGCCATAAAGGCAGGACATAGTGTCCCTGCACAAGCCCCAGGTCTGCCACAATTCATGCTGCACAAACAGGTCTCCTTGCACACTCCTGTCTTGAGTTGACTTTGGCAAGGCAGCAAAGCCAGTCTCCACGATGCTAAAGGTTATACTGCCAATACTAAACAGTTCCCAATTCTTGGACACCACTGGTTCTGACTCCACCAACTCCTTCCCAGTGTAGGCAACCTACTCTTCCCAAATAGTCGTGCTGCTTCTCCCAGTTCCATTTCCATACCCTCGACAGTCTGTGCAACAGCATCATTGTTTCTGCAAACCAGAGCAGGCTCTCTGTACTTCTTGGCAGTGCTCTGAGATGCTCCAGTGAACTCTTAGAGCATTAAGATTTCATCACTGGCGCAAAACATCCACAGTATTATTTCCTAATATGCTATAAAGTAATAGCTGTCAATTAAACCAATATTCTGGTGTCTTCCTTTTAAAGCATTATTTTGCTTTGTCACTAATTTGCACAATACAGTAATTTCATATTACTTTCCCAGCTCTGAGTATGAATTAGCTCTGTGTTACTGTCACTGGCTCAGATCAGCCATTTTATCTTTTTCCAGCTCATAACGCAGGCCTATAGAATGGATGACAAGGAAATTCATGCTGATGAACATAATTTCAAACAAATTGCTCAAATAAATCATGCTGCACCTTTTTAAGATAGCCATTTCCCCAAATGTCCTCTTTTATGCACAATGTGTTTGGCAGTGGTGCTCTTTAGGCATCAGGTATCATCTAAAATAAAGCATAACAGATTTTTTCTAAAAATATGCCACTTAAAAAATTATGCTGCAAATGCTAACGGCTGTGCTGAAAATGTATCAAAGCAAAACAGCACACAGACACAGGGGAACAGATCCTATCTGCTAATGGCCACACTCACAGCTCCAGAGGTCTTGGGAATGGGATATTGTATGGAGCACAGCTCTGAGGGCAGACCTTAACTAGCACACTGGAAAAGTAATTCTATGATTAAAAAGAAACAATTGGAAAAGGAAATAATATTACATTGCATGTCATTCCTCTGATATACTCCAAAAGAGACATCAGCCTAAAAAAAGAATATATTAAATAAAGTCAAATAATTAGAAAGGAATCTTGGCAGTGAAGTTGGTGAGAAGCTTCATTCAAACATTCTCCTTCCATGTTAGTTCTCATTAAATATTACCATGAAGGTATAAGAATACAAGAAATTTATCAGCAGCAGATCCATAGAAATTTATCTTAGCAGAAAATTATTCCTATGCAACTGAATAATTAGTTTCACTTAAGTCACTCAGCCTGTGACCGCTGTCTGTACTCCCTTTTGTCTAATTCCTGTTAAATCCCTATTCAGCCATCACTCAGCTCCAAGATCATAGGATTGTATAATAAACAAAATAATTAGTTTCCAAACTTGTAATACACTGAAACATATTTCCTGGAATATGTTTTATTTACAGTGCTATTTTGTATTCTCTCATGATTGAGAATTCAGCTTGCATGTAGAAGAGCATTTGAAGAGAGGATAATTTTGGCATAAAGCTAAATTCACACTCACTTAGGAGGGCTAAGTGAACAAGTTTTGATGCATGTACCAGAACGTCTGCATCAGCCGAGTCAGCCCACATGTATTGACATGCATCCCAGAAAAATTATGTATGAGTAGAGCATATTCCCCTTCAGACTTGTTAAATAAGGACCACTACCAAAATTGGGTAATTCCCTTTGCCAGGGCAGTACCAACAGCTAAGACACTGCAGAGCACACTGGCACCCTCTGCTCCACACCAGCACTGACACAGACTGGTAGCACTGAAAACAAGACACTTGTCAGCTGAGGCCTTTAAAACAAACTCATTAAAATGGCACAATCTCTTTAGTCTTGAATTACGAGTGAACCCCAGGAGCACGGAATGCCCACAGGTCTAACCTTACACTCTGGAAGCCAACAGATTCAAAACCTGCAAAAAGCCAATTCAATACCTTTACTTCTTCCTGCTGCAAGACTCAAAATCCTTGTGAAAATGGAAGTCACTGTTTTCCAGAGGCAATGAAGATACAGGAGACAAACTCACAACTCAGAATCATTCCTCTCCAAGCACACGCACACCACATGTGAGACTGCAGGGAGGACGAGCACGGGAGAGGTGAGCGGGTCCTTTGCAGTACAGCGAAGGGCACTGGCACAAGCAAACAGGCTCATACTTACCTCTGCCTTTCAGCGTGAGCTAAAGTATCAGTCACAGAGGAATTTAGCTTAAGAAACTGGCACCACCAGTCTGACATGGCTCACACACAACCCATTGTCAGGAGGTAGGAGGCGGCTGATTGCGGACTCGGGGGCGG